AAAAAAAAAAAAAATAGACTTGAAAGAAGTGAAGGGATTAGCCAAGCAGATGCCAGGGAAAGTAGTGACCTGGACAGAGGGGACAGCTAGAGTAAAGGGTCTAGAGCAGAGTGTCTGGTATATGACAGTTTTAGCAAAGCAGCAAGGAGCTCTGTGAGACTGAAGTGGAGTGAGAAAGGGAAACAATTTAGGAGATGAGAATCTAGACTGATATAAGCCCATATAATTTAAGCTTTTGCAGGCCAGTTTAAAGACTTTGGTTTTTATTCTGATTGGAGTGGAGATCTGTTGCAAGGTTTTAAGCAGAGGAGTGACAGGATAGTTTTATTTTTAAAGAATCACTGGGTTGCTGTGTGCGGATGTGCTGGAGGTAGGCAAAGGTAGAGGCAGGGTAGCCTGTTGGGAGGTTGTCGCAGAAGTGCAGATGCAGAATGATGTGATTCAGATTAGCAGTGGAATTGATGAGAAGCAGGTGGATTCTGGCTATAGTCTGGGATTAACTTCACTTCCCTCCCGAGTTGACCTAATTTAATTCAGACAGTGGTTCCTGCTCCATATTGAATGGTCTCATATCACTGCTTATTAAATTAAGGCCTGTAATTTCTACTTGACCTTTTTTTCTTTCTTTCCTTTCTCCTCTTTCTTTTCTTTAAGAGACAGAGTCTATTGCCCAGGCTGGAGTGCAGTGGTGTGATCATAGCTCACTGTAGCCTCCGACACCTGGGTTTAAGCAATCCTACTGCTCCAGCCTCCCCAGTAGCTGGGTCTATAGACATATACCACCACACCTAGCTAATTTTTTTTTTTGAGGCAGAGTCTCACTATGTCACCCTGAGTAGAGTGCTGTGGCATCACAGCTCACAGCAACCTCAAACTCTTGGGCCTAAGCAATTCTCTTGCCTCAGCCTCCCAAGCAACTGGGACTACAGGTGCCTGCCACAATGCCCAGCTATTTTTTGGTTGTAGTTGTCATTGTTTGACAGGCCCAGGCTGAAAGGGAACTCGCCAGCTCTGGTATATGTGGCTAGTGCCCTTAGCTGCTGAGCTGCAGGCGCCGAGCCCACACCTAGCTAATTTTAAAAAAAAATTATTTTTAGAGACAAAGTCTTGCTCTATTGCCTGGGCTGGTCTCAAACTCCTGCCCTCAGGCAATCCTCCTGCCTTGGCCTCCCAAAGTATTGGGATAACTCGCATGAGCTACCAAGCCCAGTACCTTTTCTAAATTACTCTTCTATGTTTTAATTAAGTCTGTGTGAAAATGATAGTTCTTTACTACAGAGGCCAGTGACCACACCAGGCAATGTACATGAAATTACAGGGGAAGAGGTAGTTCCTGATTTCAGTTTTATTATTATTATTTATTTATTTATTGCAGTTTTTTGACCAGGGCTGGGTTTGAAACTGCCACACTTGGCATATGGGACTGGTGCCCTGCTCCTTGAGCCACAGGCAGTGCCCTAAAACACTGATGGAGATGCCGGGGAACAAACTGATTTCAATTTTAATCAGGAAGAGAGTGTTGGCAGAGATAAACATAACATCAACAGGTTCACAAGAAAAAACAAGGAAATTTTCAGCACAGTGCCAGTCAGTTTTTTGAAGTGATAAGGCACATATTTATGAGACCAAGGAGATGCAGATAAGCAAATCTCAATTTGGAGAAGTCGTGTAAGTTCTCTGAGT